AGAAAATACAATTTAAAAATGAAAAAAGTGTTTAGATGAAGCGTCGGGATGTCTCTAGTTATTATAAAAGGCGATGCACTTTCTTTAACAGGACACTATTTTTAAAAGTCTCTTTCATCGTTTGGAAAATTTACTTTATAAATGCAGTATTCTTTTTTTAACGATTTTGTAACAATATTGAATTAATGTTTTTATTATTTTCACCGATTTTATTTATAAATGGGCAATATATAATTAGTTTTACTGATTAAAAACACCATTTTAATATAAAACTCTATTTGTATAAAATTTCAAACAATGGTATTTACAAAAGCAAACCGAATACCCGTTTACATTTAACATTTAAAAATGTTGATTTATAAAACTTTTGTTTCAAACTAAAGGTGTTTATTAATATTTATAAAGCAATTTGAAGTTTATTCCAGGTGTTTTGTAAATAAATAATTTTTAATATCAAGAAAAAGCGGTTTACGTAGGCAAAAAAGAAACAGCTTAGGTAGGTTTACTGCTGTTTTATCTCCCGTGTTTTTCGTTCTTTTAGATTTTAAAATTAGGATCTCGATAAACTTTTGGTGGCCACCAAGCGTAAATAAAAGAAGATACAAATCAAAATCGATTCCTTGAATTTTTCATCATTTTTTTTATCAACGGCTTTCACACATTTAATAAAAAATTATTTAGATTTAGCTTTCAACAAATAACAGAAAACAACAGTAAAGTTGACATTTAATCTGAGATAAGAAACAATAAACTTGACATAATAACATTGTTAGGATAATGCATTACATTCTCCACTTATTTTTCCATTACCTACTCCTAGAGCCTAACTACAATTCACTTGGTGAATAATTTATTTGATAAGCAATCTTTAAAGCGAGTTGGGGAGTATAACCAAATGCAGTAAATTATTATTCAAGTTTTTTGCGTCACGAGAGCGTCGAAAAATGGACAACAATTTGCATAAAACTTTAATTAAATTTAAAATAAATAGTTTGGAGTGATTTTTATCTAATTTTGGTTCCCCGGACAGCAAAAATGAAGGCACAGACAGACCGAATAATTCGTAAATTTTTATTGGAGCAATAAATTGGACGTATGTTTGATAAAGGCACGTCATATTCCCACAGGATGTGTGAACAAAAATAACAAACCTACCGTTTTAATTAAGCCGAGACTATTCCTCGGATAATTTATTTAGCCTTTTAATAGACTTACTGGCCTTTTGCGGTCAACAATGGAAATGTTGCAGCATTATTGCGGCATCGATGCTAATGAATCGACCCGAAATTCGATGCTTTATAGAGAAGTGTCGCCGTAAAAGTATATCATATTACTTCAAGCGAAAAACAAACTCATTTTGTTACATTAGCAGAACTGATTTGCGTGTGCACCCCCATCAAGATTGCTAAGATTACGAAATATTTCAACCCTTTGTTTAACTGCCAACCAAAAACTTGACAAAGAAAATTTTAAACAATACTTCAACAGGTAATTTAAATAACCAACATTTTCCACAAAAAAATGAACGGAAATTAAAGTTTTTGAATGATTTCATTTTTGCGTAAAAATAATTTAATAATAGAAAATTGGTTTCGTTATTAAAACGTTCTCGGGAAACATCTTTAAAAAACGAAGCTTTTAAGGAATCGATAGCTGAGTGCTGTCTTGCATTAAAAGAATGAAACCAGGTTACACACATAAAAAAGGTTCAACACAGGTTTTCTTTATTAAAACATATGTTTTGTAAAAATGTAACTGTATATTTTGGTTATTATACCTAAAAAATAAGAAAAATATCATTCACTTGATTCTTTAATTTAAAAAAAAAATGAAGTCTTTTCTATAGACTTCCAAGTCGGAAGCTTTTTCATTCTGCTTCACAATGGTATAAAGAGGTTCTACTATCAAGATGACAAGGTCTCATCGTTACAAAGCAACGTTTTAATTATCACTCCTCAAAGAACTCGATTGTCGTTTTATATATCAGTGAAAAATCGGAAAATCTTATTTTGATTTTGATAAATTAATAACCAATAACACAAAAAATTATTTGCAACTAAAATGGGTGTGAAAACAGTGTTTGATGAAGCTATATTAGGTGCGGCATTTTGTGGGAATGTAATCCAGAATGCTAATTACGCTTGTTGGGAGAGTCAGAATGCATTTACTCTACCTATCTGTTTATTAAAGTAAAGCTTTGTTTACTTGGTATCCGTAAAGTCATGCTCCATTTGAGAAGACGAGTTATTATGACCTGAGATTCCACACTAGTGACCCTAGCTACAAGTTGATGATTGATGAATATGTGCATTAAATTATGTTGTTTACATAAATGATAGAAAAAATATTTTTTTATGTGTACTGTGTGTACATTTTTTATTAATGTTGTAATTAGAACATTGCAATCAAAAGCATGTCTGCTTTGGAAAACTTCTGCTTGTTATATCTTGCTATGAGACTTTTTGTTTCTGTTGACATATCATTTATCACAGAAAGTAGATAAATTCTTGCGGAAAACTTCATGAGTTGGCTTAAATATACTTACGGATTACTAAGTTTTCTTATTACTTGTAATTTATGTTTTTATCTGATTTATAAATATTAAACATAAAAGTCATTATTAAGAAGACAGTTAAAAATGTGTGGAAGTAAATTTTTTATTGATTATTCACTTGCTTAAACATTCATGCGCTTCATAGTAGATTTAATAATATCGTAGCATTTTGTCAATGCCTATGACATTTTAAATTAAGTCGCACAATCTACCAATAACAATCAATAAGTAGATAAACGAAAAATCTAATAATTCTGTTGGATGACACTTCAGCTGAAAGAGCATTTCACTTTACTTTTATCCTGAAGGACTCCTCGGTAAAAAGCAGCTTTTGCAGACGATCAAAGCACCGTGTTTTGTAATTCGTTTTAAAATTATTGTCATGAGTTTTTTTTCGATCTCTGTGGCACTACCACGAAACTATTACAGCGGAAAGACCCGCCATGCCGTTCCAATATACCAAACAATTCAGTTTTATGTTCTACGTAAAATGGTTGTGGAGAATTTACACAATAGTACATTGTTGTTATTTTCGATGATAACGAAACTTATTTCCTTTATAAAGCAAGCGTAAAAAATAAACTAACCTCATTTTACACTAGTTTATCTTCCAATCTATGATACCATTCGAATTGAAAAATAACAAACAAATCAGAGATTTTTTTTTCAGTGGAGAGTAATAGAAATGCAATAAAGTTAGTTGACCTTACGTGTTTTCATCAAGGTCGAGCTTTGCGGTTATCTTTAGAACTCAACTTCCGGTTGCTATCGGTGAAAGCTTAGCCTATCAGCGGAATCTTGACTCGTTATATCAATACTTTAGTTGAAGTACTTGAAAATTTTAAGTGATTCCCTCTTAATCCGTTGTATTGGAAATTGTATCAAAATATTTGACTAGCTTGCTTGGGAATATTTAATCGAATGTAAACATATCGATTAAAGATGAGTTCTAAATTTTTTGTTTATTTTTTCGTTTATTTCTAGGATACTCCTAGTATTTTTACATTGATGATTTTAGGTAGAAAAGTGTAATAACGTTGTAAAAATAAACTTACTGGTTCAGTGAACGTTCTTTAAGCATTTTTCGCCGTCTGAGTGCTTCTTTTGTTGTAAAATAAAGAGTGTAAATTAGATTTTGTACGACAACTAATCTTGACAAAACAAAATTTTCCAGAACATGTTTTTTACTTTTTGAGATTTACTGAACCGAGAAATCACAGAAAGAAATTTAAAAACTTTTAAATAATGAACTTTGTTTTATCACTTTTTTTAACGTTGATGATACTTTTTATTGATTATTTTAAAGGGTTATAAAACTTTAGAAGGTACAATGCACACTCGGGTATGAACTTAAACGTGTGGTTCTGCCAAACTCCACATCAAAGGCCTGCCACAGGAAATTCTCAACTCTATACTCGCAATCGATTTTTCACAAAGATTATGCCTTTTTGTTTTGTTTAAAAATTTTATAATTATGTAAACGAATGTAAAATACTTATCCCTAAAACAAAAATAACTTTACTCTTATTGGCATTTACCGTTTTTTGAAAAAATAATAAATTTCGCTTAATAAAAATAAACGTTAGATACCATTTTTGACACAACACACAATATATTTTTATTGCTTATTATTTATTTTAAAACCGGTAATGCAGGAATAAGTTTTACATTAAGATATTATTGTGTAGTAACCCGGCGCATCCACCATTATAATCAAAAAAGCCAATTGATCGTTTAATGCAGCATAATTATTTATTGTCTTTTTGAACAAGTCATAGAAACACTTAATATTTATTAATTCTTTTAGTCCATAGCTTTGTCAAATTAAAATTAACTTGAATAAAGGCAGAGTCAACAATTTTACTGTAAAAAATGGTCTTATGAGGTGATTTCTTTATTCTTTACAAGTGATATTATTTATCTAAGGTATAAAATGATAAAATCATTTTACAGCTTCCTGTAACAAGTTGATACACGGATTCTATGATTAGATGTTTCTAACAAAAGAGAAATAACTTAATGCAATCAAAATTTTTATTTATATAACAAAAATAATAATATTAATGAATTACAACAATGTCTAATTGCATTAAGTTACCTTAAGTTGTCTTAATTCAATCGCTTAACTAGGGCCAAAAAATGTAAAGAATTTCGTTAATTACTTCACGCCTTAAAAAGAGAAATAATGTTAAAATTTCTGCATTGTCCTTGACCAAGATGCGTGCTTGAAAGCGTCACGAAACAGTAGATTAGTCCTTTTGAATGATTGTTCAAATCGTAATAAAACGGTTGAAAGTAAGAAAAATAGCAGCGGAGTATTAATCAAACCGAGACATCAATAGCAATTTCGTTTTGAACAACCATTAGTCTCTATACGATTTTTCTGCCATCTATCACCTTACATTTTCGGTTTAATTTTTGTTAATAAAACTGAAAACTGTTACAGCTGACAGCAGTTTCCTGTTGGCAAACGCACAGATAGTCGACTACCCGATAGTATATTGCAACGAGTCTTTCTGCAAGATTTCCGGTTATAATCGAGCGGAAGTCATGCAAAAATCCTGCAGGTGTGCCTTTATGTTCGGCGAACTTACCGACAAGGAGACAATCAGTAGAATAGACCACGTTCTGGAACATCAGTTGTACGATCAGTTTGAGATCCTCCTCTACAAGAAAAATAGTAAGTGTCGCTACTTTTCTTTATTGTTTAATTTTAATACAGAAATTATAATACATATATTATTGCCATTTAGCCAGTCTGTGCTTTTCTTTTTTATGATAAGGACTTAATGAAGGAATGATACAAAGTGGTACAAGTGCATTTTTATTGAGACATGCAAGGACGACACTTGGACCAATCAAAAGTAGCTAGAATTTATTATTTATTTTTGCATAACCACTCATAACATGCAATTCAGTTTCATTATTTTATAGAAAGTTTCTTCAGTCAAACGGAAATACACTTTAATTACTAAAAAGCCACGCCAAAAGCTTTTACCTAACAGCTTTGGCGCTTTATTTTCACCGTGAAATATTCCGTACAATGAAACTTTGGCGCTGGGCTTTTAAACACTGGCAAATTTTATTAATTAGCAATAAACTACGAGTATTTAACTTTATTTCTCGTGAAATGTGACTCTTAATTACATTTACATTTTAAGGAATTGTTAGAGTACACACGGTCTTAAATAAAATTACGTAGAATTAATTGTTTAAATATATATTTTATACTTAACTATAACTGTGTGTTTGCCCCGGTCCGTTCTCCTGCACCGCGCATGTTCTGTATAGAAAACAAAGGTATGTAGCTTTCAGTATTTTCTCAGAAAAATTATCAATTCAAACAATTTTGAATGGGTTTAGTATTCGATGTTTCGTTGCAACTGGCTGAATGTTGTCATGTTTAGTGAAAATTTAGTTGCTTATATAATTAAAATGGACACGTTTGCATGATCTGAACACCTTTCAAGTAGGGAGGATCCAGAATTATAAAAAAAATATTTTATTTATTATGGTGGTTGTGAAAAGGGGTGTGTAGAGCGGTGTTACAACCTCCGATAATACCCTTAGTTTATGGTAGTTTCTTCACATCACTTTTCACTCAGTTCGAAATGTAATTGTACCCTGAATAATGTGGTAAAATTGTCGATCTATGCTTTTTCGTTATTTTTACTCGCCTTTTATTTTATTCACTTCATGTCAGTTCGCTTAATGTTAAATAAATGTGTAGCGTTGGCATATTCTGCATTGTTGTTTCTTGGAAAATGTAGCTAATTCTGATCAATCTAGGCGCCGACTTATACAAATCTTTACAATATCACTTTTTTTTATTTATTTTTTATTTACAAAACAAACAATACAAATTTTAACTTGTTATATTTTATTTCAAATTCTATTATTGACGCACAAGGATAATAATCTTGCTTATTCAAATCACTGGTTATTTTGATTTTATATTATTATGCTATCTTCAAATTATTTTTTGTTTTTCTAAAACATGCAGTTTTTACTACTTTTTAATAATCTTTTAGCGTTGCAGTTTTTAAAAATAAACAAATCAAAACATATCATACAATTTTGGGCAGTTAAACTCAATTTTAAAACGAAACTATCAGCTATTTTTCTTCATCACAAATTAAGTTTACTTTTCTCCGGCTTTGACCCTTGAGTTAAGTAAACACAGTGTCATTGTACTTACAGTGCACTTCTTGCAATATCTCGCCTTTGGATCGATTTTCGGATTTATCGCTTCTGACAAGTTATAACAACGAAACCCCTGTCAGTTTTAATGTTGGCGCCTATGGTTAAAGTAAACATAAGCTTGGTAATAAATACGAAGCAGGAAACTACGTCGATATTGTTGGCAACAATAACGAGCCGTTGATAATTCGGACGTAAATTGCATTTACGATGGCATTGAGTTTTGGTGGATGCGCCAGGATAAATATTTTATTATTTACACCGAAACTCTCACCATCGATAATCTATAAAAATGCTGAATTATTGAAATTGCAGTTACATCCATAAAAAAATCACTTTCTAGTTCTGAAACTGCAAAGCAATCTCAAGGCTTTTCGCTTGTTTGTGAATCTTGGTCTAAATAATGTACAATCGTGTGCAAAAAAGACTTGATAAATAATTCAAGAGCGCTCGTTGAATAAGAAAGAGAAGACAAATAAACATGTTTAAATTCGAATTGGAGTAATTAAAACGTTAAAAACTTGGTTTAAATATATGTTAATTTACAGGTTAAAAAGCACTGATTAAAAATATTTTTTTATTTTTTTTCTACAGGCACTCCAGAAGGTATGTAGTTACAATAATTTCTCACATTTTCAGGCTATAAAATTTCCCTAATTCTTCTGTAACATTTACGCTTTGTAGAATTTGAATCTTTTTCAGTTTACTTTTCTTTTAGACATTTCTCTTTACGACGAGATTTTTCCTTAAACTTTCACTCTAACTATCGCTTTTTGCAAACCATTCTCTGGATGTAACTTTCAAGAGAAAAAACCGAAAAAATTTAAAAAGGCTTTAGATAACTTTTGCATGTTTTTTTCGATAAGACAATAACAACAAATTTCAATAATTATATTAAGCATGTTGTAAATAATTATTGTTGCTAGTTCTTAGCATGAAGCTGAGGCAACAAAATTGATAAATCGCGCTTGCTGCCGCATCAGGCAAGACGAATAGTTTGGTATGGTTTGGTTAACCTTCTTAATAAAAACTGGCAACCGGAACTAAAATTAATGAAATTAAGCCACGCTTTTTAATCTCTGTTTACACCTAATTGCAACCCTACTTTGTATTCCTCAGTGAAACACAAGTTCATTCGCTAAAAAATTGATAATCAATTTGAAATGAGTGCACTTGTGGAATTTTAACGTACATATTGTGAGCGGCATTTCACATCCATGTTTGCTAACAGGCATTTGGTATTCATCCCTCGAGATCATGCCTCCCAACAAAATGTAATTTTTTCATTCCGGAAACGTAAAGAATATGCTATCAGATGGGTAATTTGGTTATTTTACGTTTCGTTTATTGCCGTTCTATTGACTTTGTATTTAATTATTTGCGACACAAAAGTGCACTGGAAAATCTCGTTCAAGGAATCTATGAAAAAATCTGATCGTTATGCGCATTGCGTGATTCACGCACATTATTTGTTTTTTCTTCTCAGAATAATATTAGGTTTAATCCTTTAAAAGGATAGTTCATGCAACGGAACCATAAAGGAAGTTTTAGAAATGTCATATTCTAACCGCTGCTTGCTGATTAGCTAAATCAAATTATAATATTAATCTGTATTTACTCTAAAAAAGGCTTACAAAACAAGTAATGATTCTGTCCTTGAAATTTATTATTCATGATGCTTTGATAAATTGCTAAGGTCAACCAAATCAATGATTTCATTCACAAAGGTAACAAAAATTCTCACATTTTAAGATTATCTTAATTATTGTTTAGTTCACTTGCATCTTAGCTTTTTATTTATTTTGTACATATATACAAATATTGGCTTAATTAGTGTATTTAAATGATTGTTTACTTTAAACACTGTTTGATTAAAATTATTTTTAACTAAATTTCTATTTAAGATGCGGCTTGCATATACAATAAGGAGACAGAAAGAATGATAAGTAATTTTTCCTATTCTTAACTAGTTAATTAGTAGAAATTTATAACTTAATTTTGTATTATTGTATTTCAAAATTTTAAATTTACTTTTCTAAACCAGCTTCTTAGTGACTTTAAGCATGAATGTAAATTTTGAAGTCTCTTCTCTTCTTTTTTATATTGTGTTTGTGTGATGCAACATTTAATCAAAAACTAAAATGATACCCCAAAGGCATTGAAATTGCTCCTTTATTCAAAATTTATCACCCGTGTGATGTATTCAAAACAGTACAAATCAATTAGAAACAAACATGCATTGACATACGCTTGGAATATACATAAATAATATGGATTTTCGTTCACATACGTTATATTTTTGACCATATATTTAAATTATTAATTCGTCTTTTTACTGGAACATAATTCTTCTAAAGTGGATATCTATCGATTTTGCAGTTAGTGGAGTGCTAATGTAATCGCATAAGAGAATAAATCAAGGATTTTTGCAGGTCGTTAAGATTTTTATGGTGTTTTGCAAGAATAACAACACGTACTTAGTTGCAACTTTAGAGTTTGGTTTTTAGCATGTTTCATACATAGTATTAAGTAGAAATGGAATGTAAATGTAAAACTGGATTATTCATCAAATTCAATGCGCGAATGTACAAATTCTTGCTTAGTTTTCACACATAAAATATAATTTTAACGATGGAATTTTGATTTCTATTACTTTGAAAGGCGTCGCCGTACGTATGAGTATATTTTGGGAATACCTCTGTTAATTAGGAATGCTGCCGTAAATTTAGTTAAATTAATATCCAAGTTGTGTTAATTATTCTGAAGTTTCAAATTTCCCAAACCCGGCATGAGATTAATGTCGAAATATTTTGCCTGATTTGTCGATGTTTTCGTACCTTGAATTTGAATTTTTAATATTTTTTGTGTTCTCTCTGATGTAATAAAGCACCCTAAACTTATTAAAATGACAATTTTTAATAAGTTTCAAAGACAAATCTCCAAATTAAAGTTTACACAGCACGAAAAGCTACACAACCAGCTAGTTAATAGAGTAGTTTTAAATTGTAGTATTTACAGCTTTAATAGTTTGGCAGCTTAAAACAGAAAGCAAAACAGTATTGTAAAAATCAAGTTAGGGTTGAAATGTTTGTGTTTTAAACGGAAGCTTATCTGTTTTAGAAACACCATTATGGCTACTCCTGCAGATCTCTCCCATAAAGAACGAACGAGATTTGGTCGTTTTGTTCCTTTTAACATTTCGGGACATAACGGCCTTGAAACAGCCTATCGAAACGGACGATACCAAAGGAGGTAATTCATCGAAATTGCTTGGGAAAAAATTGAATATTTCAGCTTTAGGTTTATCCAAGTTTGCGAAATTGGCTCGTTCTGTGACTCGAAGTCGGTCCGTTTTAGTGTCTCAGTTTTCCTCTCATCTACCCAACTTGAAAGACACCACGAAGCAGTCACACCTGGCACAAGTCAGTCAAATCTACCAAAAATGAAACTTCATTGATTGCATTTTCGTTCCATGCTGCTTGGGATTTTGTTTCTGTTTTATTTTTGTTTAGATGATGAGTTTAAGTGCAGATATAATGCCGCAATATCGCCAGGAAGCCCCGAAGACTCCGCCCCATATCTTACTCCATTATTGCGCTTTCAAGGCCATCTGGGACTGGATCATCCTATGTCTAACGTTCTATACGGCCATTATGGTCCCTTACAATGTGGCTTTCAAGAACAAAACTTCCGAAGATGTGTCTCTGCTAGTTGTGGATTCCATCGTTGATGTGATATTCTTCATTGATATTGTTTTGAACTTTCACACGACTTTTGTTGGACCTGGCGGGGAAGTCGTTTCCGATCCTAAAGTTATCAGGATGAACTACTTAAAGAGTTGGTTCATCATCGATTTGTTGAGCTGTCTGCCTTACGATGTTTTCAACGCCTTTGATCATGACGAGGACGTAAGTAGATTACAATTTTTTACAATATCTACTTCAACTTTTACGATAACCACCGATCAAGTGCCCTAATCGCAAAATGCGATTTTTCCAGAGACACTTAAAACTCTCTTCAAATATCAACACCTGTTAAGACTAAACTTCACACTTGCGTAATTCACATTCAGTATCAAGCATAAATAACAAATCGCTTTGTTTACTTAGACACGTATAGAAGCGAGCTCCCTGAGGGACAAGACAAGACTTTTTTTCTAAATTACGTACTTGATAAACGATTTTGTAGAAGAGAGCGAAAAAGCTCCTCACATTTCAGGAGTCGAGGTGTAGAACAATTTATTACTCCAGAAGTAATCGAGAAAGACTAGCGTTTACTTTCTCACAAAAAGTTGATGTTGATTTCTTCAGAAAAGAAAAATAATTTTACCAGTTGGACATAAAAGCTTTAGTTCGTGTTTTGCGAAAGCTCCAACTCTTAAAGTGCATGTCTCTTGCTTATGTGTCATGTATTTATTTCACAGCCGATATTTTAGTATTTTTATTTTGTGTTTCTCTCCACAAGACCAGTACTAACATTATTTACGTTCAGTTATTTCAGGTTTTATATTATATACCATATTTTGCTAAGTTTAATTAATTATTTTGTTAAATTTTTGTTTTTGATATATTACTTGGTATTTTATTATATCATAATTTTCTAGTGTAGCTTAGATTTGGTGTAAAATAGAGAGCATCTAATAAAAATAAATTTACCGACAAATTAATCAAGAAGTGTTTTCGTTCTAGAGCAAGTCGAGTTAAAAGAGACTTAAATTCTTCACGAAAAACTCATTAATCAGGTAACGCTGTTTCAAAAAAGCCATAAACTGAAATGTGTTTAAGTTCCTTCAACAATGTATTATCTCAACTTTTAATTTTCAGAACTCATTACGGGTGATTAAGGGCCAACTTATAATTTTTATCTCTTACAATATGAAATATAAAAACTTTGCTTTCTTTGCAAAAACTAGTTTAAAAGATTTCTGTCAATGTAAACTTGATGGTCTGTGCCATTTTCAGGGCATTGGCAGCCTCTTCAGCGCCCTGAAAGTAGTAAGATTGTTACGATTGGGTCGTGTTGTCCGTAAACTGGATCGGTACTTGGAATACGGAGCTGCAATGCTCATCCTGCTTTTGTGCTTTTATATGTTGGTGGCACATTGGCTGGCTTGCATATGGTACTCCATAGGACGCTCGGACGCTGATAATGGTGTCCAGTATAGTTGGCTCTGGAAACTGGCGAATATAACGCAAAGTCCTTATTCGTACGTGTGGCCAAATGACACCAATACGCCAGAACTAATAAATGGTCCCTCGAGGAAGACCATGTATGTGACGGCGTTGTATTTCACCATGACTTGTATGACCTCGGTGGGATTCGGAAACGTGGCTGCCGAAACGGACAACGAGAGGATTTTCACTATTTGCATGATGATCATTGCTGGTAATTTTTTGCTTGTTGTTTTATAATCAACTAGTGATTGCAATTTTGAACGCACACTAAAGTCAGCATATTGCAAAATTTGAATCAACCATTCCTAATTTGTACGACAATAAAAGTTTCCTTATATATTTTAAAGTGCGGAATAAATTTTAAAGTATAATAAAGTGAATAATATGTCACAAGACGCCAAAGTTGGTAAATTAAGAGATAGAAATTATTTCCTACCGTGATGTTAGAAACTTAAGTAGCAATAATTCTTCTAACTTTTTCTTGCATTCGGTACAATTGCAACTTTTCATATTTATGTTGATGAAATTTAATAAACCGAAACCTAAACAAAAGATTTTTTAGCTCTAGTTTCAGTCATCGGTTTGATTAATACGAAGAAAAAAGTGTTTCCTGCTAATATCAATATTTGACATTTCACTGCTGCAGTGAAATAATGTTTGCAGATCTTTTTCTTTACATTTTGGAATGAATGTTTCAATTCTCATGATGTACGAGGATAGTAAACGTCCTCATAAAGTAAAGTCAACTTTCTCATTGTATTATAATCCAAATTAAATGACAAATATTTGCTTAGTCTTCAAGTATCTACCAAAGGTACATTTAGCGTTGAAATAATCGTTGACACCTTTAAAACTACAACTAATTTCATTTGTTTTCCAAAAACAATAATCAGTGAAACATGGAAAGCACACACTAAAATTTTATTTTTGGCTTGATTCCAGTCAATTTTTCAGTATTTATTGGCTCAAATAAAGAATCCCCCCTGCATTCTATCTGTTTTAATTTGATTAAAATAATTTTGGCATTTCATTTCATTAATTAAATGATAATCAAAGATCAGTTTTCGTTGCATCTCAAACTTAAACCCCACTTTTGCAGCTCTTTTGTATGCAACAATCTTCGGTCACGTGACGACAATAATTCAGCAGATGACTTCAGCCACGGCTAAATACCACGACATGCTGAACAACGTAAGGGAGTTCATGAAACTCCACGAAGTCCCTAAAGCCTTGTCAGAACGAGTAATGGATTATGTCGTTTCAACATGGGCTATGACCAAAGGGCTCGATCAAGACAAGGTACTACACTATTTCATTCTCTACACGCCCTTTTTCGGCCGAATCAATTTAATCCCAATCGACTATTTTCTTGTTTTGACATGAACAATTGCCTTGTTTGCTATCATTGAAATGCAGATTCACTTTATTGCTATTCAGGCCAAATATTTTCTCTCTCTAAAGGAAAAATTTTAATTTTTGATAAGAGACTTGTTTAAACGACTCGAAAACAAAGTTTATTACAAGGCGCGTATTGTTACCATATGCTGCCTTTTAATAAGCAACAAACCGCTTGCCTTAACACTTCGGTGGTTTAATCTGAAATTTTTTGTAGGTATTGAATTTTTGTCCTAAGGACATGAAGGCTGATATTTGCGTCCATTTAAATCGAAAAGTGTTCAACGAGCATCCAGCTTTTCGCCTAGCTTCTGATGGATGTCTCCGTGCGTTAGCAATGCATTTCACAATGTCTCATTCGGCTCCCGGTGACCTTCTTTATCACACTGGAGAGTCCATCGATTCACTTTGTTTCATTGTCACTGGATCACTTGAAGTGATACAAGATGACGAAGTGGTAGCAATTTTAGGTGAGATTTGATTACAAAGAAAGCATTTATGTAATCTTTTTTTCAGGTAAAGGCGACGTTTTCGGTGACTCCTTTTGGAAGGATAACGCTGTAGGACAGTCCGCGGCAAATGTGCGTGCTTTAACATACTGTGATTTACATACGATAAAAAGGGACAAGCTTTTAGAAGTGTTGGACTTTTATCAAGCTTTCGCAAATAGCTTCGCTAGAAATTTAATCTTAACATACAACCTAAGGCATCGTTTGATATTCCGAAAAGTCGCGGATGTCAAAAGAGAGAAAGAACTGGCAGAAAGGAGAAAAAACGAGCCGCAATTAGACCAAAACCAGGATCACCTCGTTCGCAAAATTTTCTCCAAATTTAGAAGAGATAGAAGCCAACAACAATCTACTGCAAACTCTCAACACTCATCCGATGTTGAAAAAGGCGAAGAGTCTGGTGATAAAGCCATGACACGTGTAATGTCAACGACGAAATTGTCATCAGTGGCGGAAAAAGACGACAGTAGTGGTGGTGGTGTCAAAACAACAGTTGCCAGACCTGCAGCAGGTCGAGCAAGCAAGTGGGGCCGACTCCTAGGATCGGCAAGTCTCGACTCAGGATCAGAAAGTTCAACTCCAGCTCAGCAAGCCTTCACTAGAAGTCTCAGTGCTAAGGACACGATGAAAGAGCGACCGAGTTCCTCATCTTCGGGTAGTTCAGGGAGTCAACCAACTCCAGGTTCCGGCAATAAAGTTTTCCCCAAGTTACAAAAAGTTTCAACAAATTCGTCACCCGGAATCACTCGACAGGACACAATCGAGGAAATGGTAGAAGTTGAGCCGCAACACCACCACTCCCGGAATTTATCCCTAAGAAAGATGCAGAGTTATGATTGTGGTTTGAGGGATCCTTCGACTGCTTCAATGTACCAAACGCCGCTGCCAGACCCTATAGCACCTCCTGAATACAAGGAGTTGATGACAAACTTGATGGATTTTAAAGTTGACGTTAAGTTGGAGATTCAGAGACTTAACCAGAAGATGAACAGGATGGAAGAGTTGCTGACGGAGTTGGTTAAGCGGATAACTCCTGAAAGTGGTTCAAGTTCACCTCAGGGCGATTCTGAACCTAAACCAAAGTCTTCCAGTGCCGGCTCAGGACCGGAAAGACCTACCGAACTCATGCCTCGACCTAGTACGTCCGAAGGAACGGGATTAGGGCCTATTATTTTACGAAAAAGGCGTTCGAAAACTCGGATTAAAGGTACGGCGCCTCAAATCCCTACCCCTAGTAGTGGGAAAGTTACATCTCCTGAAAGTTCAGCAACGAGTCCAACCGAAACAACCAAAATGCTGGATGAGCCAGTGCTCACGCCGTCCTCTCGCAAACCTAAGGACTTTCTTTAGCAAATTTTAGTGATTTTTTATAGGATAGTTTCGCCTGCCACTAAGAGTAGATTTCGTTTCGCCTTAATTTGAACAGCAGGGCTGTCAAGTCGCATTAGATTCTATTGTACAAATCAAATTGATCACATTTCACCTAGAATTCATCTTTGAAGCATGTTTTATTGTTTTCTAATAATATGTAAATAACAGGAATTTAACGATAGCTTAAATAATTACAAAAACGGCCATAATCTCACGTCTGTCATTAAATTAATGATTAGCATTACATGGATTTTTGGCCACACTTGCCTTGTGCTCTATAACTAAGAGCTTTTATAGTAGTTTGTAAAACTCACGCTACTAGCGCTCTATATTTATAAACACCAAAAGTAATATTGCAAAAGTAAAGAGAAGTTTAAATTTGTTTTCAATGAAGAAAGAAATATTTAACCGAACTTTAAACTTCTCAACTATAGGATTGTAAATTATTCAAGATATAAATTTAAGAAATTTATCTCCAGATTGTACAGAATTTTGCCAGCAACTTTAACAGTTTCATTGTTAAGTTTAGAGATATAATTACAGTTTTTATTGTTACAAAATGAATTGTATTGTTGATATTTTACAACGAAAACATTATTTGTATCTTAGAGTTTTACGTTGTTGCTGGTAACATATATCATTAGCAATATACTACTCCTACTTATTTCTAAACAAAGTTTCTTTAAAAGAAATGAAACGTTAAATAAGATAAAATGTACATTTCTATATTCAATTAGGAGTATTCAAATGTCCAGCTAATCTAAAGTGATTTGTTACGTTTTTGTTTTTCCAATATTTATTGTTATTGATTTTACGTCACTTTTAATAAAGTGAAACCACTTATAGTGCTCTGCAAAAATACATTTCAATGAAAAATAAAATTATTTCCTCCAAAATCAGAATATCAAATAACAAATGTAAGAAAGCACTAATTTTGCTCATACGTGTATCATCATTAATATTCTTATTTGAAATCGTTTTTTGCTTTCGGACTTACCGCAGCGGGAACATATTTATTATAATAAATTTTTATTGTACTGTTGAAGCAATAAAGACAATTGAAAATACACAGCCAAATCGAGTTTTAGTCATTTTCTCCCATCTAACTTTGTAAACAGACTTATTACAGGAAAAAATAATTAAAAATGAAAAATTTGTGATAATGTATTTTAGACAAAGAAATCTAAACCATTTATTTGGGTTTCTTGCATGCTACTTTAAGCTACCATCGTGCAGATGGCGCACAATATTCTCTTGTTTCTCTTCCGAGATAATAATTTAATGCCTTTCACGACCTTACAACTAATGATTTATGATCATGATCCTCATAATAATGGTAATATGAATTTAAAATCATTGATTACGGTTTACTACTTTATTGTTTTTTGAGTAGTTGTTTACCGGCATGGTAATAATAATTAAAAAAACAGTTAAAAAGAAGACATTAATTTGGTCTTTAAATAACTTTCTTGCAACCAATTTCTGGTCCAAATTAAATCTAAATAAATTATGTAGCAACTAATGAATGCAGATTTAATTAAAACCTTCTAAAGGGTTTATTATAGCCGCAGATAAAAAAAGCATCTGGAAATTAGCCAAGTATTTAAATTTCTGTAAATGAGAATAATTCTAACGAAGTATCTCCCGTTACCTGATAGAATAATAAAATGAGCGTCTCTCCTGTTTTTTTTTTCCGCAGGATTTAGTAGAGATTATTCCGGTCTATAAGAAACAAAAATGTTCGCTCAATTTTGGAGAATAGGAAGTAAAGTATGCAGTTTGTTAGCGACGTCACGTATGTCTCTGACCAATTTTAAACAACCAGCTCAACCTACTTTCACTAAAGTGCTCGCTAGTGCGTAACGTTAAACTTTAATTAAGAATTTGAACAATAATTAAATTTAATGAACCAACACAAAAATTCGAGTTCAAGTGCCTAAGTCAAGTCGAAATTTTCAGTAGAAATAGATGAGCTGTTGAAGATGCAGACGTTTTATTGCTGTTTTTTACGGTTCAATGAAGAGTAAATATTTTTAGTGGATCTATTTCAATCCTTTTATCGCACAAGTTTTTATGTTAATAAGAGGAAATGAGCCGGATGAAAGTGGCTTTCGTTCGGTTTGGGTTGTCAGCTTTTTTCATATTATACAACGTTTTGAATAATGGAATATTAATTAAATCTACGACTGCATTTTCACACTCACAGTAAACAGAAAAATTACTCGTCAATATTGCTTTAATTTAAAAGTGAATATTTAAAATCTATTGAACTCTGCTGAACACAAATCACAGAAAGTAGCTTCTGATTCAACTTAATTTAATTTTTGTTATCTCAATAAAACTTTTGTTTTCTGTCTCATTAGACAAAACCGAGGACATATTACAGAGCTCTAGCAAGTAAGTAACTACATCATATCTATGTAATTGCGCTGTTGGCATAGACCTCCGGGAATAACTCGAAATTGTTGTGTCCTTTAATTTAAACACTTTAAACGTTGTAAATAATTTGTGGCTACACCACAGTTATTGTTCTGCCACCGCCCCCAAATGAAACAATGTTTTGAGAATTTTCTTTGCAGAAACATTTACCCCAAAAATCTGAAAAATTATAATTTCGTCAATATTTTAATGGCAGCTTCAGTGAAGATTTTTCTGTGGATGAACTCAGACTTTATATTCTTCGAATTTCAGTAAAGTTTGTTCCGACTTTGAGGAGGTACGCCACTGGCAAAATCAGTCTAGCTCGACGATAAAATGTAAATTTTCACATAAAGGTGGTCGGAATCTCGTTTTAAAAGATTATTACACGTACTAGAATAAAAAGAGTTGATCCCACAATTGGTCCATAAAACGATAAATATTAAACGTTGTCGGATTAAATTAATTAACTTCCACAACCCTTTTAACAACGTGAAAATCCCGTACATATTATGTCCGATCCAGCCCCAGCGACTTGCCAACGTAAGTTTATTTTGTAAAGTTAAACATAAAGCCTCTGGAATTGTTTCAAGTCGGATAACACAGCTATCAAGATAATTGTTATAATTTTATTGGGATTGTGTATATCAGTGTCTAAAACAGCGTGCAGAGTTAGGAAGCGAGTATTACACCACAATTTATCGATCCCAAACAACTGGCGCTGTAATGTGATCCCGAGGTTTTGACATGATGATCCCTTTAACAATAATTTACAGCACGGCCGTTATCAACTACTACGGAGCACAACTCCAATACGGACCTGATCACTCACCTATTTACACCGTTCAGGTTCCAACTTACACAAAAGCAATTTATAATAAAATTTCTGCACCATCTGATGCCTACTTTTACATTTTTTTGTGAAAATACGTTTACTGGCAACCTATTGAGGCATGCGAGAGAACTTCATTATCCAGAGGTACCAACTCAATAAACTGACGAACATGCAAATAAAAGTTAGCAGTAAACAAGCTAACTAAATCAGCATTATGACACCCCATTGTGATGCAACAGAGCCGGCTTCAAATAACGTTTCCTCTTAAAATAATAATGTGGTCGTAAATGACCGACAAGACCACTTGAAAAATCACCTCTGGTGAGAAGGCTTTTCGTATAAACAACAATAAAACGACACAACAGTACACCAAACAGATTTCACCTTTTAACTGGGTTTTATCGTGCTATTTGCCAAAGTGGTCCAACAGTAACCGTTAATTGAGCCAGCCATACGAATTGAACACCACAAATAATTACATGCAAGCCTTGAAATTCAAACATTAATTACTAATTAGCGAATTAATGGAATTGACAGAGAGATGATTGAATGAAAATGAAATTTGCATTTTCTATTAATCTGACCTATATTCGACCACCTTTTCAAAAATTGTGATATTATATTTGAAAGTATATCCGGAACTTCCAATTCGGCAAAAGTTGCAAAAAATAAGATGAACGAAAGTGTCGAAAGTTAATGTATTGGTAATCAAATATTATAATTATAGTAGATGTAGAAGCTATTTTAACTTTCGTTTTGTTGATTTAAGTGACGTGCCTTTATGAAATACTTGATTGATAATAAAGCGAGGTCAACTAAAGGAATGTTGCCTCAAAATTGTATTGACAATTAAAATGTCTTTTGCTTATCGTGAAAAACACCTGTCTCGAAAAATGCTTTTAATCAATATAAATTGTTGTGATTTTATAAAAATGACACAACTAGACGTCGACCCTAATCACTTCAGGTGACATAAAGTCCGGTTCTGTGTATGTTCATTACTCCCGACCGAATCATCCTCTAACTGCCTTCGTTGTCTGTCACGTGTTTAATTTTCAGAGGTTGTCCACCCTGTATATAAAGCGTATTGACTTTCGAATACAATTTTTAAATTACAATGCTATTGCTGTACCATAAATTAACAAGTAAAACTTTCTGAACTGACAGTCGCAAGGGTAATTTATTCTGCAGTATATTAACCAAATGACAAAATAATATCGATGTTATTTCTGGCAGAGATAATTTCTAAAACCGAGTTTGTATGCACATATAAAATATTTGCTCATTCTTGGTTCATTTTCACCGTCTTTTGCACTTCAATTAATTAATAGATTAATCACCAGAACCTTTTTTTTAAGATTTGTATAGTTTAGTTAAATTATGTACCATCAAAGGTAGTAAAAAATATGCATACAAAATTTTTATAAAGTTGACGCGTTATGAGTTGGCGAAAAGGTTGAATGCGGAGTAGGTTTCATACTATACGCGGGAACTTCAACATTTTCCAGTGCCATCACATAATCAGTTGCTTTTACTGAGTCATTCTTGGTTCATTTTCACCGTCTTTTGCACTTCAATTAATTAATAGATTAATCACCAGAACCTTTTTTTTAAGATTTGTATAGTTTAGTTAAATTATGTACCATCAAAGGTAGTAAAAAATATGCATACAAAATTTTTATAAAGTTGACGCGTTATGAGTTGGCGAAAAGGTTGAATGCGGAGTAGGTTTCATACTATACGCGGGAACTTCAACATTTTCCAGTGCCATCACATAATCAGTTGCTTTTACTGAGTCAGTTTACAAAATCTTCAATTACCATGAAATTTTAATTTGCCATTAATCAATTTAATAAAACGAAGTAAATTTTAAGTCAGGATCAAAGTATTTCAACTTGAGTTGTCAGTAACTTTACATTGCTAAACATCAATTTAATCGCAAATTAAAATTTGACTGCAATTAAAAATGCTCTGTAAATTGCCCCACAGGGTACTTTTTGTTTAAAATGAAAATGTGAAATTTGTTTAAAATAAAAATGTGTTTGAGGCTACGCCACTGTTTCTCGCAGTTCTCTTGGCATGCACCGGACTTCACCAATTTATACCGCGTCAACTGTACTTACTTTTGTTGTGTATACTCAAAAATTACTTATTCACACACTTTGCGATAAACAAAAAAATAAAAAAATTAAAATGCACTCACCCTATGGCATCTTCTTCTACTAAAATTATTATTAAAGTAAATTTGCACTCGTCTGTTACAAATTTTTAAAGAAAATCTGAGAAATAAAATTTTTATCTGAAACAAAATTAATTTCTATGCATAATTTAATAAATACTTACTGAAAATAAAGAAACACAAAATCAGTTCAATGTGTTATTAAATCAGTTGAAAATATGTATTAATTAGATAAAATTTAAATGTAATTTTTCTAAAAAAAATTAAAAGGTTTTGTTGACTAACCTTTTAATCCGGATCCTTAACCCGTACGGCAGCTTGGCTTAGACTCACTCGTTAATATTAATTGTTAATTGTAATAATTCCCTCAAAAACGACAGAATGCACAAAAACCTATTTCGTAACAGTTTCGTTGTAAAAGATCTTTGTTCGGGACTACGTAATCCCGCCATTCGCAACGTCACAAAATAATTCGAATATTACAAAATTCTACGTTCACCATTTGATTGACATAAACATGAACTTAGCAAAAATTCACTTTTGTTTAAAGATGACAATTTTAATTTGCCATTAATTGATTTAGAAAAGCCAAAATAAAATTTAATTCAGGACTAAACAAATCGCTTCCTTGTTTC